AGAGGGCAACATTTGGAAGGGAGTCTTGTCTTTCAGCTACATCAACTTAATTATTCAGATAAGCTGAATCTTCCCAATTTTCTTTCTGCATATCAAAAAGTATATATCTTTTAAAGATGTATTTATTTATTTGAAAGGTAGGGTCACAGAGAGAGGGAGAGACACAGACAGAGAGGGAGAAAGGGATATCTACCATCTGCTGGTCACTCCCCAGACGACTGCAATGGCCAGGGCTGGGTCACGCTGAAGCCAGGCACCAGTAGCTTGGCCTGGATCTCTCATGCGGGTGGCAGGGCCCAAGCATTTGGGCCATCCTCTGTTGCTTTCCCAGGCCAATAGCAGGGAGCTAGATTAGAAGTGGAACAGCTGGGACTTGAACTGGTGGCCCATATGGGATGCTGGTAAAGCAGGTGGTAGCTTAACCTGCTACACTATAATACCAGTTCTTTTTTATTTCTTTTTCCAAGAAATATGCTTTGTGGGCCAGTGTTGTGGTATAACAGGTTAAGCCTCTGCCTGAGACACCAGCAACCCTTATGGGTGCCAGTTCAAGTGCCAGCTGTTCCACTTCTGATCCAACTCTCTGCTAATGGCCTGGGAAAACAGCAGAAGATGGTCCAAATGCTTGGACCCCTGCATTCATGTGGGAGATGTGGATGAAGCTCCAGGCTTCTGTCTTCAGCCTGGCCAGTCCTGGCCGTTGCTAGTGAACTAGCATATGGAAGATGTGTGTGTCTCTCTCTCCGTCACTCTCTGCCTTCCCGCCCCCCTGCAACTCTGCTTCCCAAATAAATAAATAAATAAGAAAGGAAGAAAGGAAGGGAGGGAGGGAGGGAGGGAGGGTGGGAGGAAGGAAGGAAGGAAGGGAGGGAGGGAGGGGGGAGGAGGGAGGAAGGAAGGAAATGTCGTATTTAAAAATGCCACTTACCTCATCACTTTCGGGCTGTGAATACACAATTGGCTGGCCTGTATCTGAAGCTTCCCTTATACTAAGGTGTAAAGGAATGTCTCCTGAAAGAGCACAGCAGACAGATATCCATCAGTACCGGGAAAGCTCACAAAACCATTTGGAACCTATTTGAACTTTGGAAAAAAACAAAGCCTGGGCTGGCGCCGCGGCTCACTAGGCTCATCCTCCGCCTTGTGGCGCCGGCACACCGGGTTCTAGTCCCGGTCGGGGCACCGGATTCTGTCCTGGCTGCCCCTCTTCCAGGCCAGCTCTCTGCTGTGGCCCGGGAGTGCAGTGGAGGATGGCCCAAGTACTTGGGCCCTGCACCCCATGGGAGACCAGGACAAGCACCTGGCTCCTGCCATCAGATCAGCGCGGTGCGCCGGCTGCGGCAGCCATTGGAGGGTGAACCAACAGCAAAGGAAGACCTTTCTCTCTGTCTCTCTCTCTCACTGTCCACTCTGCCTGTCAAAAAAAAAAAAAAAAAAAAAAGCCTATATTAAACTGATTTAAATCAATTCAAATCATGATTATCTGCAATTTACTATATCTCTGGAACAAAGAATTTCAAATGAAAATCAGAGGCAAAATACTGCATTTGAGGGCAGTAAAGGGATCGCACATGCACATATGATAGCTATGTGGCACCCAATGAAGGGTGAAGCCTCTCATTTAATCTTTGCTGGAGGTCTTCCATCCAGGAGTGGCTTGGAACACATTTGTAAATGATTTCTCTGTAATATCTGATACTGACTCACTGTGTCACATGATAAGAGGAAGGGGGGGGGGAGGCGGGGGAGGCAAAGTACCCCCAAAAAAGAACAACAATGTAATCTTGCTGCTGGCAGAGTGAGCTAAGAGAAATATTATCTCAACTCTCTGCCTTTTTAGCAGATAGAATCTTTTTCTATTGTTATTTACTAATCTACATAGACTTACATCTAACTTGTAAGCTTGTTGAGCTCTCAGGAAGTGTTATGAGGGTACTTCAGAAAGTTGGTGGAAAAGCAAAATGAAAAGGTAAGCTTATTTTTCATGCAAAAAACCCCCATAAAATCTATGTATATTTTTCATAATATACATTTTCCACTAATTTTTGAAGAGCCTTTGAATAATAAAAACCTCTAATACACAGTCCAAAGTTGGAGAGGTTGTGTATGATTCCTGAGAGCACAGTACTATTAATTGGTGCATTTAGGAGCCAGAGGTTCTTATCCATCATCCAATACACTCTTTTCTACCACACCTTCAGGGCAGAAGTCTTTCAAAGACTGAGAGACAGAATGCAGTAAATGGGGGTAGATTTTTGGCCCAGCAGGTAAGACATTGCTTGGATCGCCACATCCCGTATCAGAGTGCCTGGGTTCAAGTCCTAGCTGTGTTATGATTCTAGCTCCCTGCTAATGTGCATCCTACATGGCAGTAGGTGACAATTTGAGTACTTAGGGTCCTGACAACTCACAAGTGAGACATGGATTGAGTTTGGGGTTCCTGGCTTTGGCCTGGTCCAGTCTTGGTCCTGACTGTTGTCAGCATTCAGGGAATAAAAGCGAGGAGATGGAAGATCTCTGTCTCTCTGCTTTCAAATTAAATACAGAAAGTGGAGATTTACAAAGAAGAACAGACTCTATGGTACTCAGCATCCTCAGAACCATTCTAAATTCATTCAAAAGTTATTGAAATGTGTGTGTGTGTGTGTGTTTTATAAAAATAAGTCATCAGTACCACGCCAGGCAGTGTAAATAATGCAGAAGTGCATGTTACAAAAACATTACGATTTATTATACAGTACATGGTGGAGGAACAGATATTTCACGCTCCTCTTGTCAGCAAATTTTGTGATCTTAGCTCTTTAAGTCTTCCCTTAACGTCCAACGGCCAAGTGACAAAATACATGAATATTTCAGCAGCCATTTAAAGATTAGCTTTTCAATAAATTTGATGTTTATTCTATAGATCAATTTAAGACTGCAGGAAACTGTGACAGGGGCAGGCAGGGTAAAATAAGTGATAGAACATGCTTAGAAACCCATAAAATTTTTCTTTTGATTTATGAACTGCCACTATAGGAAGAAATCTGGAATGATTTCTTTTCTCCTGAAGAAACAGAAGTAAGAGAAAGTTAAACCTTCTCTTTTGTACAGCCACTCATCCACACTGTGTTTGCCCTCCAGAGACCCACAATCCTACCAAGAGACACACAAGAGTAGACTGGGCAGTAGGTAATACAGGCAGTATCTTGTCGGGCAGAGGTAATACAGTGAGAATGCAGGTGGGCTAGTGGTTCTAATTTGAGAGGCAGAAGAAGCAGTAAAGGCTGAGTGAGTGAGGAGCACACCGGGCATACTAAGCACTTGGAAGGCTAATTCTGAAGGAAACAAGGGCACAGAGTAGGCCAAAGGGTTCCTCTGAGACAGTCTGACCATAGCTACGATGCACAGCAACTGCCCCAGTATATCCACAAGGATAAGGTTCTGAAGAGCTACTTTACCAATCATTTCAAACACAACCCAAAGGATGAACATCAATTAAGAGGCTGGCTGGGAATGAGTAAAGGACGGCCAAGGGCTCCCTGTGGGGTTCAACCACCCAGGAGGCCACAGGGGAGAACACTTTTATCTCAGGTCCTCATTCCCAATTCCAGCCCTTCCATTGCAGTTCATGGGAGGCCCGGGGGAACACGTGGCTGCATTAAGGGGCGATGTGTCCTGAGTTGGAACTCCAAGTGATCTTCCCTATAACATCATTAGACATAGCAGTTTAGGGTAGTGTCCAGCTTTTGTGATTGGTAATCAGTGTTTCTGATACATTTTTAGGATAACTGTACATATGTGAGCCATTAGTTAAAATATAACTCTCATATGTTACATTACTTCCTGATAAGATGCTTCAAACTCTAAACAAATGACTTATAAAACTGTACCACTGATTTATAAGTTAGAGAATTACAAATTTGCCAGTGTAATTCAATAATGTCAATTTATAATTATACATTTACTTTATTATATAAATGAATGTCAATCTGTTATGTTATTATGCAAATTTGGAAAATTGAACTTTCTAGGTTAGTTAAATGTAAAACAGTTGCAGAATATAATTAGTGGCTATAATTATAGCAATGCATCAAAATATATCATTAGTATTCACCTGGTATTGTAGTGGAGGCTATAGTATATAAATGCATAATAACAATCATACATTTACCATTAACTTCTAGAAACTTCATTATAATATAGAATATTTTGAAATTCCTTGCTCTCCAGGGGAATCTCAATTTTTTTAACAACCTAAAACTAATAATCCATTGTATGCCTCACTTATTCAGCATCTAACATATGCTTTTGCCCAAAACAGAAACTCATTTACAATGAAGATATCAAAACATGTTTCTTAAAAAGTCCATTAAAAGTTGCTCATGGATTTGTGAATACAGATTTTGTCCAACTCTGTGATTTGTTCATTTAACCCAATTTTAGTTCTCATAGCAGTAATTAATCCTTCAATGCAGTGCTGTGAATAGTTTAAAATTCACGTGCCACATTTTATAGACATAGCAAACACATACAAATATTACAGAAAACAGTAAATATTATCATTCTAAAGCAGAAATACTAACAAATACAGAATTGAATAGGAAAGCATTTTTACTTATGCACCAAGAATTGATATTCCAAGAGATTGCTATGAAATTATAAATAGGCATGTGCATGAATGTACACCTGTTTATAAGAGAGGTGTGTATCCCACTGAGCAAACAAACTGATGAAAATAATTTAAAGTATGGCTTTAAATCAGAGTACTTGGACAACAAAACTCTTTTCAAAGTTATACGCAGTTTTTACCTATAGTAGAAATTACGTATTATCATAGTTGGCAGAACAAATCTATTCAAAAAAGCTAAAGAAATGTTATCACACAGAACTGTGCTACACTAACTTAAAACACAAAATCACAAGCAACTCCTCATTTCCTAAGACCTCTTCAAGACCAGGCTTCACTCCCACTTCCCCTTATGCAACTCTCACTGCCAAAAAACATCGTATGGTCTTACCCAGAACATCAAGATCAAGGGTCTGTGCTAGCTTCCTTGCACCATCAGCACCAAAAATATGAGTTTTGTGTTTACAGTTTGGACACTGGAAAACACTCATGTTTTGGATAAGGCCAAGGACCTAGAGAAATAAACACACATTGCAATTAAAACAAATCCTAACACATTATTTCAACAACTTCTTTAACCAAACACCCAGTAGGCTCAAGTGATAAAGGTGAGCAAGGTATGGTCTTTGCTCTCCAGGAACTCACAAGCTACTGTTAGGTTGTGAGGGGGCCTGGTGACAAGAAGGGGTGAGCTTACAGCAGGAATTCTGAGCAGGAGGAAGAGGCCAAGTGCAGGCAGCAAAGCCAAAATCGTGAGAGGATCTGGGCTGCAAGCCAGCAGGTGGTGGAGGCAGAAGATGATGTGGTGAGGAAGGTCAGGGCAAGAAGGTAAGAAGCAAAATGCCACCCAGGGATTTGAGAGACGCTTTTCTTCAGACAACATGAATTGTGGTTTTTAAAGTTGAGAAGGTGGCATTAAAGAGGTGATGTTGCACAATCAGATTTGTGTTTTAGAAATCTAGCTCCGGGCCGTGCCACGGCGCACTAGGTGAATCCTCCGCCTGTGGTGCATCCCATATGGATGCCAGTTCTAGTCCGGGTTGCTTCTCTTCCAACCCAGCTCTCTGCTGTGTCCCAGGAAGCCCGTGGAAGATGGCCCAGGTGCTTGGGCTCCTGCACCCATGTGGGAGACCAGGAAGAAGCACCTGGCTCCTGGCCTCAGATTGGCACAGCTCCATCCATTGCGGCCATTTGGGGAGTGAACCAACAGAGGGAAGACCTTTCTCTCTGTCTCTCTCTCCCACTGTCTGTAATTCTACCTGCCAAATAAATAAATAAAAATCTTAAAAAAAAAAAAAAAGAAATCTAGCTCCAATGACAATATGGGGAAAAAGAAGAGAGGAGAAACAGAGGAAAATAAGACGTAAGATGTGGATGAAGTCTCCCAGTAAACAACGCTAACATGCACCGAGTGCTCACGACAGGCCAGGTGCTGGGGGGAAGCACTTTGAAGCCACTAGCTCACATATGCCTCACAGGAACTGCATGATAGAGGTACGTTATACTCCTCCTCCCCATTCTACAGCTGACAAAACCCACAGTGCTGGCAAAAGACTGAAATTCAGCACTTGAAAAAAATTTCAAAGTTTCTTAGAAAATGTCCACCTCTTCTGTACTTTCTCCAACTTCTGGCACAGTGACTTAATAAACATTATTATTCAACAGTGATGTTGAATAAAAAGAGAGGCTCTGCAAATATAATCCTTACTCGTGTTCCTTTTAACTCCACTTTCTTACTGATGAGAAGCAGGGGCTCCCTTGTAGAATAAAAATGTGCACCGCTACCAACAGAGGCTTAGAGACAATAGTGGCTGCATCACCCTGTCAACTGCACCATAAGATTATCATCGTAGGAGATTATCAGGACATTTGCATTTTAAATCAGGAATAGCTCTGACAGTCCACAATGAAACATAGAAACGAGGTGATAAAATTTGTTATTCTTTCCAAGAGAAGGCTAAAGTTGACCATATCATGCACAAATGAACACAAATAATAGAGGACATGAATCTGCAGCAAAGCATTTCCCAAGGATCTAATATATGCCCTTTTGCTGATGTAGAGTATCATGGAAAATAAATCACACTGTGTTTTGGTAATTCAGTAACATCTCCAGAAAGCTAGAGGAAAACACAGCTTATTGGTTTATTCACTATGTCTGTATAACACACTCATTGCTTAGGCAGTTTTACAGCCATTTATGTTAAATGTTATATATCCCCTGACTATAGGGCTTTCAACTTACACATGAAAACATCATTCAATAAATGACAAAAGGAAAAAAACTTTTAAAAAGTGAAAAATCCAGGTTAGGGTTTATTTCAATGCAGAGAGAACAGGAAAAGAATTCTTACCTTGGGATCTCTTAGCTTCCCCAGGACAGAGAGACATGCAGCAAGAATGTATTTATAGTTTGTGTGATTTATTCCTCATTATCAGATCATTCCCTATGGACTGCATAAATATCTCAGATATGTTCTCTATAGATTACATAAATGTCACAAACATAAGTGTAACCAATAGTTACACATTTAATGAGCTCTTATTTACATGCCAACAAGTGGACTAACCCCAAGGGATAGCATACAGTGGTGAGCAGACTTGGTCTTGGTCTTTGCCCCCTTGGAGCTTGCACTCTAATTGGAGAAATGGGTTGAACACAGAATAAAATAGAGCAGCATCTCTGGAAGCAGAGGCTAGGGTGGTATGAGAGTGTAGAAAAGAGGGGACTCAACTCATGCTTGGTGTCAGAGAAGGCTTCCTTGAAGAAAGCCAAGTATTTGACCTAAAAGTTACAGAGTAACCAGGCAAAAACCAAGCAGAAATGGAAGAAAAACATTCAAGACACAAACAGAGAGCAAATATCTCTCTGTGGGGAATTGCAAGGCCAGCCTGAGGCCTCTGAGGGGTGGGGTGAATGTCACTAGACAAGGCTGCAAAGGTAGTGTTTATATGGCAAACAAGGACACTTCAAAGAGTTGATAGAGGGGCTGGCGCTGTGGCACAGCAGATTAAAGCCCTGGCCATCTGGGGAGTGAACCAGCGAATGGAAGACCTCTCTCTCTCTGCTCTACCTCTCTCTGTAACTCTGTCTTTTTTAAAAAAATAAAGAGTTGATAGAAAAATGGAACTGAAAGTTTTTTTTATTTAAAATTTGTTTTGTAATTCAAGTGGCAGAGAAACCGAAAGACAGAGAAAGAGAGAGAGAAATATACCAAAGGAGTGTGTCAGAGACTGATTGACAGAGAACTCCCATCTGCTGGTTTACTCCCCACTTAAATGCCCACAACAGCCAGGTTTGAGCCAAGACTGAGCTAGGGCAAAGTCAAGAGACAGGAACTCAATCCATGTTTCCCAAGAGGGTGGCAGGGATCTAACCACTTGAGCTATCACCAGCCGCCTACCACAGTACACGTCAGCTGGAAGCTAGAATTGGGAGCAGTGCTGGGACTTGAACCCAGGCACTCTGATATGGGATGCAGGTATCCCAACTGGTGGCTTTACCATTAGGCCAAACACCTACCCAGATAAGTTTATTTTGGTGCAAGAGCACTTTTGAAATCTATGCATAGTTTTTCATAACACACATTTTTCATGAACTTTTTGAAGACCCCTCATGGTAAGGTGTCTCAGTTATGTAAGGAGTACAAAGAGAAGTCATTAAAGGGTTTTGAGGAAGAGAGTAAGCCCTCCATGCCAGGCAGTTGTCACAGCCTCATTACTTAAAACAACACAAAGAATGGAAAACAGGGAAGACCTTTCGAATACACTTTTTTAAAGATATATTTATTTGAAAGTCAGAGTTACAGAGAAGGAGAGGGAGAGGGAGAAATAGAGAGATCGTCCATCTGCTGGTTCACTCCCCAAATGGCCCCAATAGCTGGGGCTAAGCCAGGCTGAAGCCAGGAGCCAGCAGCTTCCTCCAAGTCTCCTACATGGGTGCAGGGGCCCAAGGCCTTGGATCATCTTGGGCTGCTTTCCCAGACACATTAGCAGGGAGCTGGATCAGAAATGGAGCACCCAGGGCTTGAACTAGTGCCTTTATGGGATGCTGGCATCACAGGAAGTAGCTTAACCTATTACACCACAATGCCAGGCCCAATACATTTTTTTTTTTAAAGGACTTGTCTCTTTATGTTTTTTTTCCATACAAACACAGATCCAGGGCTGTGCTCTCTAAAAATCAATCCTCAGACAGGTGGCTATTTTTAGGTGACTACAATATGTCCAGCTCTCCTGCTGGGCACTAGGTTAGGATTTTTCTGAAATTAGGTGAGTACATGTAAATTATTTTGGCCAATGAAATGTGAGAAGTGCCATGTGTCACTTTTAGGCCAAAGCTTTAGGTGCTAATTCCCCATTATCTTTTCCCTCTGTCCCAGTGACCAGCAAGCCTCCAGATGGCAGCTCCTGTGTCAATCGGGTGCTGGAATAAGAACAACAGAGAGGAGCGCTGAAGCCAAACAAAACAGACATGTAGCATGAGGGAAATTAACTGGGTGGTTTTAACCACTGAAATTCAAGCCATGTTTACAGACATAACCTAGCTCATCATGGCTGACAGCTATATGGGCATATTAGAATTTCTATTTTATGATTTCTTTTTAAATTTCAGTTGAGTGTGTATTTTATAATGGACAGAACACACATAATGTGGCATATGTATATATAGTATATATGTATACTATATATATGCAAATGTAACATAAATACACAACATGCTCAAACATATGCTTATAAATGTACATCCATGCTCAAATATCTTTTATTGATAAGGATGTACAATCAAAAAAGTTTGGAGATCAGGAATGCCCAATGTTTGAAACAGTGGTTTGACAATTAAGCTCAGCTTTATTATGGATAATATATGCCTTTGTCTAGTTTAAGGACAAAAGTCCTAATATTGCTTCCCACAGCATTCTGTATGAACTAATTCCATTTAACTCAAAGACTCCTTCACCTTAAGATCTTCTCACAGATATATCACTTTGTTTGGTAAAAACTTACAAGTTGGTTGTAATGGAAGAGAACAGAGAGCCCACAGGAGACCCGTACATGCAAGTCACTGATTTACACTGGACACAACATGGCACTGCAAGTAACTTGTGAGTCTTAACTCACTATCTCACCACCAACACAAAAATTAATTCCAGATGGATTGTAGAGCTAAATATGAAAATCAAGTCAGCATCACTTTACGATTAAAATAAAAACAAAAATCAAATATTCTCCCTGCTATGTGTCTGGGAAAGCAGTAGAAGATGGCCCAGGCCCTTGGGTCCTGCACCCACATGGGAGACTCCGAAGAAGCTCCTGGCTTCTGGCTTCAGACTGGCCCAGCCCTGGGCATTGCAGCCATTTGGGGGAGTGAACCAATGGATCGAAGATTTCTCTATGCCTCCCCACCCAAACGCTGCCTTTCAAATAAATAAAATAAAAATCTAAAAAAAAAAAATCTAATGTTGGTGAGGATATGAAACAACTAAGACTCACTGTTTCAGTTGAGTACAAA